TATTAAGCATAGATTTTTTTTCTTCTGTCCAATCTGAAGGAAAATAATGTAATGTTAAAAATTATTCAAGCAACAACTTAAAAAAAAAAAAAAAGTTCTATTTTTGATTATTTTTGGTCAGGTTCAGAACAAATTTTCCATATGTTCACATTTCAAAAAAAATTTTTTTTTTTTTTTTACTGAAATAAAATTAGAGATTTCTTTCAAACATCCTATCCCACAAATTAAAAAAGTAGACATGGGATATCAAAAAGGCTGAGAAACACTCACCCAAAATATTTGCATAGAACTTTCTAATAAAATAACTTTGTTGCTTTTATGAATATGGACAATATTTTCTGAAAGCAAAAAAAATTTTTTTTATGAAAAATGAATTTTTAATACAATTATTTGTTATTTTTTTAATTATAATAGACTTTTACATTTAAGTTGTTAAAATATTATAAAATTAGTTAAAAGCCGCATCGGGTTTCCTAATCGTCCTTATGAGATAGATCTTTTTTTTAGCACATTGTAAATTGTATCGTTTTGACTAATCAGAAAACCGGCAGTAATTAAGAAATGTAATTTTGTGTTTATAATCGGGCCGTAATTATAAAGTACGGAAAACCAACCAGAATACAATTAAGTTGCGTTATTTGAATTAAGCATTGTTCTCCGCTGTTAAGGCCTTTACTTTTGTGAAACACGTGTGGAGAAGTTAATTTGATTTTTCAATTTCAACTGAGAAGGGTACCTACAAGTATCAGTATCATATGAAATTTATATGATCTTATTTTTATATTAATCTCAGTTATGACATTTTTCCATAAACGAAATATCAAAATTAATAATAAAATGAATGGAAATACAAATAACAGTAAAAAATGTAATAAATGTACATTGTACATGTAACATAAAATTATAGTATTTTACACTTCTGATAAAATTTCATAAGAAAGGTACCTAAATTAATTAGATACCTTTCTTATGAAATTTAATCTCACTCTTAACAGTCTTATTTTAATTTCTTTAGAATATATTTTCCATAAAGCATCGTAAACGTAAAGATGAAAGCTAAGTACAAAAATTAGAGCGCTGAAAGTTTTCCTTAAAAATAACGAGGTAAATAATTTGTTCACTTAAGTTAAATGTAAATAATTTAACTTTTCTCCTTCCGTAGAACAAATTATCCTCAAATCATCCTGTCAAGTGACGCGAAAGTTTATGACCTCATTTGTTTTATTTTCAAATTACATCTTTTCGGCGCAGAAGCTAAGTTAAGCTTGGTTCAAAATATTTTAAATGAACATGATTTCTGATTTTCTTAAGTTTTGAAAAAAATGATAATTGATATTTAAAAGAATTTCAAAGTGAGATTTCCAGTTTTTTATAAAATGGAAAAAAATGGTCAATTTTGCTGACTTAAAAAAAAAAAGAAAGACTGAAAAAAAAAAAAAGCAAGATTTTTAACGAAAATTTTGGACGTTCTAGGAACGATTAAAAAATGTAAAAAAAATACCCCCAAAAATAAAATACTTTGATCTTTCCTCTTAATAAACATTTAAGACGATAAAATTTTGTTTTCAAGTTTGGCGTCTTTTTCTTCATGCTATGCTCTTTTTTTATAGTGATCTCGTGGAGGTACCTAAAACACGAAAATAAAATCACACCAATCTTAACATTTTTCCAGTCTTTTGAACGCATCTTTATACAATAAAAAAGAAACCATCAATAACCAGAAGAATTTCCAAATCGCACTGAATTACAAGTAAATTTTTAAAAAAGAATGTAGATATTTTCCTGTCAAACCAGAAAGAAAATAAAAATGAATATCAAATTACATTTACAAGCACTAACCCTCAACAAAAATATTTTTGAGTTTTATTGAATTATTGCTTCAGGATAAATTCTGAAAATTTTCTGATTTGATATTTAAACTTTTTTTTTTTTTTTTTCCTCGAAATATCTTCAGGGACTTTTATTCATAAACATAGAAAAACTATAAAAATATTTGTCATCACAATCCAATTTTATTTTATATTCACAATTTATCGAAATGAGAAGGTAACTACACCCAATCAATAAATATTTCTACAAAGTTTTATAAAATACTCTGATTTCCGATATTTTTTAAAAACAGGAGGCAGAGTTTAGGAAAAAAAAAAAAAAAAAACATCCATTTCGGAGGTGTACCAAGTAAACCAGTTTTGAAGTAAAAGGAGATGAGCAATTGCTATCCGAGATAAATAAGAATTGTAATTATCAAATTTATTAAGTCCTTAAGAAGAGCATATTTAATTGGAATTCTAAATAAAACAAGTAAAAGAGGGGAATAAATTTAGAGCAAAAAAATGAAGCGTATCCATTTCTCTTCAATTCTGCCAAAGAAACTTGCAATGATAAAAATAATAAATAACACGGTAAAGTAAATGACTACATATACGTTGCTAAAAGAAACACAAGACTAGGTTTTTTTTTTTCTGACGAGAAGGAATTGCGGAGAAAGAAGCAGCTTCTTGGGGAGAATGCCAGTTTGAAAAAAAAAAAGAAAGAAAGAAAGAAAAGGCAAATTTTTGCCACTTCAACTGTAAATCTCTCCTCTCGCTTTTTCTGATGATGAAGCAGTCGAAGATTGTTGAAAGAGAAAACTCCTTTTCCCTAAAAAGCTGTTTAGTTTACAGAGGAGAAGGGCGACGACAAAAGGCGAACAGTGTTCACAAGAGTTGTTTATTATTATTTTTACATCCACGTTATTGACATCAGAACTGGTTCATTTTGTGAGCCACCGTCAAAACGACCTTTAAGCCCAGATGTTTGGTGAAAACGCGTATGGATAGAAAAAGAAAAGACATTTTATTTTTACCAAAATAACAAGGAAGCATCCTGCCTATTATTATTGTTACATTTCAATTTCATTTAAATTTTAAATCCAGTCAAAACGTTCACAGAGACATATCTACAATACTTTTTTCTCACAGTTAAAAAAAAAAAAAAAAAAAAAACAAACAAACCAGGGTGAGATATGTTGGGCATAGCTTTAGTTTTTTTTTTTTTTAACGTTTTTCATTTGCTTGTTTCTTTTCATTAAGATCTAAAAAATTGTCGATAAAAATAAAACAGAAAAGTAAAACTGTATCGTTCTTTTTAAACTCGATCTTATGACAAAACAGTGAGAAAAAGATAAAAAAAAACGTTCCCTTAGAAAAAAGACAAAACAAAAACGGATTCTTTTATCAACACGTTTCATGCTAAATAACTTAGATTTGTCAATCTGATTTTTTTTAAGTAAAAAAATATATACAATAATGTGAATAAGAAGGTTTAACACGTGTTTTTACAATTTCTTTTTTAACTACTAATATATTTTTTGATTCATGTTTAAAGTTTGTTAATGAATTTACTTTACACAGGCAAATATTAAGTATATTTAAAACTAAAAAACAAAGGTTTTTTTTATTCTTAAACCATAACGGTAGGTGAATTTCAATTGCAGTTCTTAAGATTAAGAAAAATTATGTAAATAAAAAAATAAAAGCAGCTTTGTCATTTTACGTCATTGATTTACATTTTTTCAAGGCAATACACAAAATATTATTAGTTTTTTTTTTTAATTTTTTTTTATTCTGGACTAAAAATATCTGCATTTTTTTTTTTTTTCAAATTTTGAATTTATTTACATTAATTAAAAGATTCTGATTTGTCAATACCAACAATAAAAAAAAACTGTGGACAATTTTTTTATTACACTCTCTTAACTTTAGACTAGAGTGTTCAAAAATATTCTACTTTACAGACTCACGCAAATTATATAATCCATTTTAAACTTCGAAATACTTGTCTACCAAACCATTTTAAACATCTGGACCAAAGTACTGCATTTTTGTTGTAAAATCCAATTCTTTCTTCAACGTCATTTAGTTTTTTTTTTTTTGTTTTTTTTTCGTATTCTTTAAACCGCCATTTTTGCAATAGACATGAACCTTGGATTAGGATTTTTTTTTTTTTTTAGTGATGGCATATTTAACATAATGCTGAAACGTGCACATAAATTTTTTAAAAAAGTAATTTAATTTAGAAGCGAAGAAACTGATGCGTATGTGAACTAGGACTTTAATAATCTTGCCTCGAGGGTAAGAGTCGGAAAGAAAGAATTCTTCTCTCCAAGAATAAGGCTTCGGGTAAACAAAATAAAAGAAATTAAAAGGATGCATAAGCCTCAGTTTTCTTCAGGAGTTCACCCACTCACGACTCGACCGATCAAGAGAGTAAAACAAAAAGAGAGAAAGAAACTAGTATTAGAAAAATCATTTGCATAAAACGAGCAGGGTATCCATCCATCCATCCATTCAGCGAGCTCGCTAGCGTTGCAATAATCGTAGATAGATATTACTCAATCTTAGCGGACAGATAAACATACAGATTTATTTATTTAGAAATACTTATATAAAGATATGAACAAAAAAAAAATCTACGCATATAAAATTGTTTGAAACAAATAAACAACAAATACAAGACGAAAAACGTGCATGGCGTCCCCTTCGGTTAAAATAACAAGAACATTGTGTAAAATAATGAATGTAATGATGCAGCTAAGAATACGAAGAAGATTGTAAAGATGTCCACCTTTCTCCCAATGAATAATAAACAGGCTATTAATTCGAAAAATCAATTCTTTAAAAAGCACAAAGTAAAGACGCAAATAACTAACAATACATAGCAATGAAAATAGAAAATATTTCTTATCACTTACCCCAATTCCGCACAGCACTGCAACAATGCCGCCATCTTTGGTAGGAAACTAATCAAACTCTCTAACTCAAACGCAAAAAGTAAATTTTTTTCATTTTCATAATACTAATTTGCTTTAATTATGGATACAATCTTTATTAGATTAAATCACGTATCTAAACTAGATTGACAACACATCCAAATGAAAGATAAGGAGAAGAAAAAAATTTATGATGCAGAAAGGAAAAATAATACAAAAAAGAAAGCAAGTATTGCATGGGTTTGAGACTATGTTGTATGATGTCGTGACGTCATCGCAAGGTTGCTTAGAAGGAAGTGCAGTGACATTAAGGCGAGCCGCTTGGCCGACGGGATTTTTCTTCTTATTTTTCTGCTTTCAAGTAAGATTTCCCTAACAGATGACGCTATATTTGACTATATCTTCTTCTCTTTTAATTCTATATCCCACTTTTCTTGATCGTTTGCGGAAAATCACCGAACGTTATTGACACTTTCTGAGTGTTACGTTTCTTCCCCCCCCTGTCTAAAAATTCTTTTATGTCGGGAATTTAATTCACGTCAAAACAAAATCAATAAAAAGTTTACACTACAAATTATCGATGAACTCCCGAGCTACTTTGGTCACAAGGGGATCAATTTCAAAATCTAAATCTTCTGTAGTTTAGTTTTATTTTAAATAATAATAATAAAACATCATTAATAGTTTTTATATTTTTGTTGACAGACTTCAAACAAAACAAATTTGAGAAATTGTTTATTTTTTAATTTTTTTATGTTTCGATTTTTTCATGTTTTGAACATTTAATTTTTTAGTTAAGTAATCTTAGCTTTAACTAAGTTTCCACCTTTTAGTCCCTTTTTTTCTTGAACGTTTTTATTCGATTTTGTCTAAAATTTAAAGTTGTTTTTGAATTATGGGGTGTTTGACGGGTTTTTTTTTCTTTAATTGTTAACATTTAATAAAATAAAAATATCATTATCTACATTTTAAATTCCTTAAAAATCAATGATTTTCCAAATTCAAATGACATTTTTTAAAAATTAGTGCAAAAAAACCGTTTCCGCTTTCGTCAGTTTTTTGTTTTGTAGTAAAGTTAAAAAAAACAAAAAAAAACCTATGTGTCTTATTTTATTATCGTAGGTAAATGTAAGGAAAGTTTTTTTTCTTTTCTGGAAAAATGCTCAATCTTTGCGGTATGTTTTTATCAATTTGAAAATAAATGTCGTTGAAACAAAACCTCAAAAATTAGATCTACAATTCAGAAACTTTCAGCTTCACTTGTTATTTACTAATTTTACCCTTCGTTTTTGTACAAAAAAGGCACCCAGTGAGGATCGTACTCTATAGAGTCAACTAAATTGGCTAGCTCTAACCATTAACGAAGCTTTCGATTATTTATATTTTGAAATATATAATTTATATAACAATTCCGAAGATAGAAATTCAGATTTTTTTCTGCTCTCTCTAGATAAACATAAATCTCGATCTACTTTTTTTCCTGGGCAGGGAAGGTGTTAAGCTCAAGGGGAGATAACTCTATTTCGAACCCGAACATTCACGTCAGAAGTGAATGAATGAATAAAAATAAAATTATTGTATTGAGGAAAATAATTTAAACGTCGTTAACTCCTCTCCTCATAGTAATTCAATTTTGGTTTTTTACTATTGTTATTGATTAATGACTAACACATTTATTTAATAATAAAAAAAATCAAAATTTGATTTCTTTAAAAAATAGTTTATTCACGTTGTCAACATGGAAATTACAACTTAGCAAGCCTTAAATGAGTGTTTTTTTTTTGTTGTTGTTTTTTTTTGTGATGTATTTTTATTTTTTTTTGTAAAAATACTGGTTTGGGATTCAAATTGCCAATTTTACTTTTTGTAATAGGCTCAGATTATCAAACTAAAAAGTAAACCTGGGTAGGGCCGGATTTCCTTACTAAGAGCCCCCCTCCTCTTGGGCTAATAATTTTATTAGGAGGTCCCCTTCATTACATATTCGTTCACCGTTTCTCTCTCTCTCTCTCTCTCTCTATATATATATATATATATATATATATATTAAGAAATGGACAAAGTCCGACAATTTATTTATTAAAGACATTTTTATGTTTAACGTTCTTAAATACTTGTATCTATAAAAAAGAACGTTTAAACATAAAAATGTCTTTAATAAATATATATATATTTTGTGTGTGTAAAATGAAACGCTTTCAACTAAAATTTTTATTGATTCTCAAAAAAATTCAATGAAGTGTAAAAAAATTAACAAAGTAAACAAAATTATGCAAAAATAATTAAAATAGCTATATCAAAATTCTATAAAGATGCATCAAAAACTAAAATCTAAATGCCCCCCCCACCACCACCACCACCATCGAATTTAAAAGACCTGCTACCACTAGTGAGGGATTGTTTGAAATTAGTTCAATCAAAGGAGACCCATTAAATCTGAAAATAAACAAATCTCCACTGTTTTTATATCTTTATTTATATTTTTATTTTAGTTTTATCAGGGCCCAAAATTTGGCTGCAGCACCAGGTCTGGGGCATTTTTACTATGAATTTAAAAAATGGGATAGTGGATTTCCAGAATTATTTATATTCCCTCCTCCTCCTCCCTCCCCATTATGAATAATATAATTTTCATCTTAAATTTAATACTCAAAGAAACCAATATTTATTTTAAGACAAATTAATCACCATAAATGAACTTCCAATAATCATATAATTAAAAAATGCAATTTATTTACAGGTTTTGTTTATAAGTTTTTTTTTTCTATTTTTTTTTTTTTTTGTCGATGTACTTTTATTGTAAACAGACATATATGAAATATTCATAAAAAAACAATGAACTTATATATAGAATGTTCATACATTTTTAGTAAATGTCATTACTTACAGTTTACAGGATAAAAGAAATTGAATTAAAGAATCTGGCATGTAGTTTCAATTGTCAGTGAGTGTTTTGATCTTAAGCTGCTTCACTTATCTGTTTGTGGAAATGCAGTCACTTGGCATTGATTTATGTATATGAGCTAGCATTTTTTAGTTGACAGGCTACAACCTGTTGCAAAGACCCATATCTCAGCTGCTACCAAATTTGAAGGATTTTAAATTCACTCAAACCTACAGTGACTGGTTTAAATTTCTCTTCTCATTTCTCATTTGTTTTCTACTATGTTTATAAATTTCTGATCTTATTTTAGAGTTTTTTTTGTTAGCCTTATTAATGGAGCTTGTTTTGACTTTTGACTATAAATATATATATATATATATATATATATAATACACCATTATGCAGCCTCATAATACATAGGACAAGTAGCAATATACAAAATATAATAATTAAAATAGCTAGTATATGAAGATTTTAGGGGTATGTTAAAAAGCTACACAAAAACTCACACTAAAACCCCTAAAATCTTCATATACTAGCTATTTTAATTATTATATTTTGTATATTGCTACTTGTCCTATGTATTATGAGGCTGCATAATGGTGTATTTTTTATACTAGTCAAAATGTTTAAGGTAAAAATACTCTTAGGGTTGGAGGGAACTTTGGTTTAAGTGATAAGAACCATAAACATTTGAAAGCCCAAAGTAGTAAGTTTTATGCAGTGAAATTCCCTACAGTGAATAAACAAAAGGTCACTCAGTTTTTTTTTTTAATTTACATTAAAATCTTACAACTTTACAAATTATCACCTTTTTCAAGTGATTTTTATAGTACTTGTATTTGATACAGGCTCATTCACAGAATTATTTAAAAATTTTCAGACTTCCTCATTTTTTATTTGGATAACAATTACTTTGACTTTTTGTCTATTGTTTTGTTTTGTTTTTTACTTTAAACCTTCTTATTAGGAATGCTATTTTAATGAACTCACAAATTATATTGCTTATATTGTTTAAGAGATTCTTGAGCTAGATTAGAAGAAAAATACCCTATATGCTTGCATATCATGTGACCTCTGAAGACCTAATTTTAAAGCTAATTTGACTACAGTAAGTGGATATATAATTTGGTCAACAGTGTAGCCAGGACCAGCAGTACATATAATAATTTTTTTACTCCTGTATGATGCAACCCCTTAAAATTAGCTTCAAAATTAGGTCTTCAAAAGTCACAGGATATGTGAATATATACAATGAGGAATGGCTTAGAATACACCAATCAAAACATTATGATCAAGAATACAACAGATGAAGTACTTGTCTACATAAGTTAGGAAATAATAAAAATGCTTAAACTCAAGGCTTCAAATAAGTTTAAAGAGTACACCAAGTGACATGATAAAAACAAAAAGATAATGATACTAGTTCTATATAATTGAAGGAATATTTCATCATCAAACTGCAATTGTTAGAATTTTGTGCTTGTATGTTGTTAGTTTTCATTTTTTTCACCACGAAGCACAGCGATAATGCCACTAAGACACAAGTGGGCTACTGGGTGTGAAAGAGGATGGACTTTCAAAAGAACTGGAAACAAGATAAACCTTTACTCTTGTTCCTGGTCCCTGTATGTAATGTCAAGCCTGGTTAATACCTAGATGGATGACCATTTGGGAATACCAGGTGCTGTAAGAATGGATGTGTGGGTCATGTAATGGATAATGGCTCAAAATTAATTGGAGAGCCAAGTTCCAATTCCTGTTTTCTCCGACTATAGATTTTGTCTCATTTTTTTTTTTTTTTTAACTCTACTCAGTTTTTTACCTAAACAAATTTAAAATAAGTAAGACTGTTCTTATTGGGACTGACAAATTGGTTAAATTTTCTTTTTAAATTACAAAACAAGATTCTTTGTATGTTACCATTCATAATTAAAAGTGGAAAACATGATGCAATGCTTAAAAGTTATTGGCCCAACAAAGAAGCCCTTGAAAAAAAACAAAATTCATGTTTGGGTAAGTGAGTCAGGCTAAGAGCATTTCAGTACCCAGTTGCATGTATGTAATTGAAAAGAACTTGATGAAGGAAACAGCTTATTGATTAACTTAAGCAAGAAAAGTATTTAATATTTTTGGCATGTCACTATTGGTTTGCAATTACTATTTTATTGATTTATGCTGTCGTTGACCTGAACTTTAAATCTGGCTCTGTTATACAGAAGGAATAAAGAGGTTTATATCTGTTTAAATTATATACAAAGAAAAGAAATGTAGCAGAAAGAAATTAAGGTTATTAGTAGAAAATTACAAAGGGGTGAGACATGAATACCTTGCCTTTGATGAGTAATAAAATATCTCATGTGTTTCATTGCTTTAGTGCCCAGGTGAGAGCCAGTTCTTAGGAAATGATTTTGCAAAAAGAAAAAAACAATTTCTTTTTAAAGATGATCTAAAAACATTCAAATATAAGTTTTAAA